GCCGTCGTCAAACTCGTGGTTGCCGAATGCCATGGCATCATACTTCAGCTCGGTCATCACTTCAGCCGCGGGGCGGTACTTCAGAATCGCATACCACAGCGTTCCCTGGAACTGGTCGCCAGCATCCAAAAGCAGCACGTTCCTATCCTGCTGACGAATCGTTCGAACAGCAGTAGCGAGTCTTGCTGATCCGCCAAAACATTGATTCGTCGACACATCGTTAGCAGAACACTTTCCCATTTTGTCGTTGAATCTAAAATCAAAGTCTGAATGTTTGTAGAGTATGTAGTTTATAAAATATTATTATAAGTTTTACGTTTTAGGCGCATGCACGAAATGGCCTTTCCTAGAATTTGAAAAAAACTTATTTACGCAATGAAATGAAAATGAAATAAATTGAATAAGGGATATTAGGAGACAAAGAGTAGATGATCCTCTCCATGCAACACAGAACAAAGTGAAATTCAAAACGTTAACTGTGAAACAATACACAATACGTAGCCATTGCTTACCAGTTGCCACCTGCGCTAATTTGAACAAAATGGGCAGATTTAAAGTTTAACATTTTACAACCAACTTCTTGATACAGGCAAATGCGTATTTGATGTGACGATGCACAACAAAATTTGGAATGCAGCCATCAAAGGTGCACTCGCATGTCATCCGCTATTTCTCCAAATTAAGAATTCACTAATGTGATGGTCAGTAGTTGCTAGAACGTAACAGAGGACACTCTCAAGTCAACCTCTGTTATAAACCCACGTTACAACTAGCAAGAAGCAGATGGAAAACCGAATGGTTCGGCTTGCAGGAAACATCTGAGATACGCGTCAAATAGGGAAATATCCTGTGGTGCTGACCGTTGTCGAAAAAGAACAGGAAAAACTAGAAGAAAAGTTTATAACCGTTGGAACGTCTGTCTTGCTCATACTTTAATGATGTGGCCAATTCTAGCTTTGTGTTAATGCAACACTAGCAGTCGGGGGGTGTGGATTTACATTTCCATGTCATCAGCCAGGCGTGCCATATTCTTAAAGGTGAAATCAATAGGAGTTATGTAATGGTCTCAATGTTAGTAACTATGGTCTTATTTTCCTGTCCCTTTTCCATTCACGTGTCAGAGTGATACCCTTTAATCAACTTCGACAGGAAGAAAGACGAGTGACAGCAACCTAGGCTCGAATCCGGGATCTTTCAATTCTGGTTTCTACGTTCCACCGACGAAATAAACCCGGTCTAAAGCAACATGTGCAAACTCTTTGCTTAAGGGGTTAATAAAGTTGCACTCGGTGTTAAGACTTTTGTTTCAGGATCAAGGTTTCGGTTGATGCTACGAGCCATTAATAGCTGCAACCTAAACAATGCAGCAAGTCATAGGAATAAACATGATAAAAAGGTAAAAGGGCGAATGGGCTACAATCGTGTGTATTACTTTTCTGGTGCCCTATCCAGAAAACGACCAGACAAAATACGTACTAATGCAAATTAAGAAGTTAAACATATTTGTTTCAACCGTTATACATGACAGGTAAGTTACGCATTTGCGTTCATCATGTATCTGTGTATGATGTTGGAACTGTTCATAATTCTGTATGCGAAAACGATTAATGTCCTGTTTTCTACCAAGCAGTTTGAAGCTCATGACAAACGGAGAAAGAAATACCTTTTGAAAATCCTGCGGAATATTTGATATAATTGATCTTCTAGACAATGTTGACTCGAACGACTCATATGTGATGGTTTTCGTGTGAAATATCGGCTCAGAAGGAAAACTTTCTCGATCAGTCTTGCATACACTGGATGACGGCTTTATTAGAAGACATTCTGTTTAGAAGACTTGTTTGAAGAATAAACATATACAACTTTAAGTCTAAACAACGTATGGGAAGCAAACTTTCTTTGTAAAGGGAGTGGAAAATTGACCATGATCGCTATGTGATTGAAAGACTCATTTCACATCATCCATTAATCCATATAAAAGCAGTTGAGGTTGTCGTGTGCACTTTTAATACATCGGTAGTTATAATGAAAGCAACATAAATAATTGATTTCCCACAGGAATTCACCACCGATTTTTGGCACGACCGGAAACGCTGTGGATACCAATATTCTCTTTAGCTTACAAAATGTTTAAAAAAAGTTGTTAGTAGTTTATAATTGTGCAGCTTAAGAGAGAAGAATCACGATGTGATGGCCGATGTTTTGCTATACATTTATGGAACTTCGGTTCATCTTTGGTTTGCATAATTCCAGAAAAGCTGCAAGTTTCGGTTCTGGCCAGCACGAAATGTCCACAGCATTTTTAATGCATGACATGCTTGCAGTGGCTTAAAAATTTTCAACACTGTATCTGGTACTGCGGATATTAAAATACCATGGAACTACGGCCTTCATAAATGGCCCCTCTAAGGCAACTAGGCGCAAGGAGACGGTGCGACACGGCGTGAAATTTGGTCTTGAAGGAGTCATTGGCTATTGGGCGACGACGATGTTTATGCTACATAACAACATGCTGCTTACGATGAAGAATTATTATGTTCACGCAGTGACACTAGTACTTACGGAAGAAACCTTGCGTGAACGTCGTTCGTATGAAGAATAGTAATTGAGAAGGCGTCTTCATTTTCACCAGCGGTAGATTGTAGGTACAAAAGGAGGACCAGAAAAATCGACATCGCGGCAATGGCAAAACAGGGAAAGCGTTTGAATGAGACAGCAAATCAGATTTTTGTCTCTGCTGCGGGTTCGGCCGATATTCAGGACGCCGTAGATCACCCATATCGAACGGAACAGGTTTACGTCATTCGACTTTCTGTTTACCAGGTGCTTCAGTTTGCGGCGTTCCGTCTGTTTGTTCGTTGTCAGCTGCTGCTGCCATTATTTGAACAGCATCAGCGGAGCTTCAAGCCGTTCTGACTTCGTTTATGGAGCAGCAATGATCCCACAGGGCTAACTGTCCTCCCCGACATCGTCGAGTTCAGCCGGTTAATTCCCATTCCGGCTGCGCATTGTACGCTTTGACAGAAAAACTAGTCGCTACATCCTCGGAAGGATCGTTCGTCGAAAATCACGAACTTCTATTAAAACGTCAACTTTCAAACTTAGACGCGCGGATGATAGAGTGTCACTTCTTGACTGAAACTCACAGCCACCATGGCTTTGGTATGGAAACCAGAACGTGTCAGAATTATGCACTGA